CGAGGTCAGCAGGACCCGGGGCTATAAGCTGTAGAAACAGCGAGAATCAACTCGAACAAGCCATTCAATTCTAACGTCTGAGGGCATTACGTGGGCTAGTTTATTTCTTATATACAGGGTTTACAATGTCACCCATAGTTGAGATAAATTGTCACTGCTCATTACAGTGTGAGCGCGTCCACTGGGAATGTGACCCCCTTTAGAGCCCAAAAAACACCTTACCCAGCCAACCCATTCACCCACCCACCCGCCATCCACCTATCTACCTGTTTATTCCAAAAGTAGGTTGTTTTGTTATGCTTGGACAATTTATAATAATGAAAGCGATCGACACAGTTGTTTTCACAGCCTATCTGGAAGTAATGAATTATGTATGTATGTAGGTTATCAGTGTTTCACCGCCTACCAGGCATTAATTTCTCTGAAGCGAAAAAGGAGGTATTTTTTGGTCAAGACGAGCAGAGCTATTGATAAGGCAGATGTATTATATCGGGTTACGAGCATGCGACCAGACGAACAAATACCCAGAAAACGTCGCGTGCGGGTCTCGAGGTATTGCACCAACGCATGCTTGACAGTGTACTCTGGTATAGTTGTCACCGTTACCACAACCTGGACTCCACGGTCGCCACCCCATGAGGGGACCCTTTTCGCCGCTGGTCGGACGCCAAACCGACATCGGTTGCAGGGGGCCTACTTGGATGGCTGCTAAGTTGGTTTGTTGGTCGGTGGTTTTGCATGGCTTCGCCATTAGGCGCGGGTTATCAAGTAGGTAAGGGCAAACTGGGTTCCCTTCTCCTTTTCCCCCGCAGACGTAACGGGTTCTGACAGGAATTTAACGAAATGAACAAACAGGAATGTTCCATCTTTTAAAATTACCAATATTAACAAGTGCTTTGCCTGTAAGACTGTTTTCTAAACAATTCTCCTACTTTCATTGTTTCCTCTGGCGTCTGTGTTTTCACGTTATGTTTTGTATACGGCGTGCAGCGGAGACCACAGGCCCAAGTATAACTCTTTACATACAATTTATACACTTTTCTGCGAATTTTCATTTTTCCGCGCAGTTAAAATATAACATCCACAAGCAATAACATTTCGGACGCGGAATGGTAACCGCTTAGTACGTAACTTGTCGAATATTTATACGCCATTTTTTAGCTATTGCTACATTTTATGAATACAGTTTTTACGAACAGTATATGACGCGATTGGGTACGAGTTTGACGTCGACGATATAATCGGAAATTCGAAATATATCATGCACAGTATATCACAGCGATTGGGTGACGGACGACGCGAGTATTTACGCAATGATATTATACACGGGTATTCGGCATTATATTATATCGCAGTCTAATCGAGTTTGGGAATTGTATTTTATTGTATTTTGAAAACTCGGGTTGAAGTCGTATTGTCGTGTTGGTATTTGATATGTATTGCCATTGTGTTCGAAATGATTGTTGTTATTGGTTATTAGTTGACATTGGGTTACGCGGTGGCAGTACAAGAAACACTAGGGTAAGCCTATACACTTAAAAGGTTACGATTACAAGCAAAACCTATCACGACGATGAGCCACAGCAAGCTTTCTTTCCCCGGTAATTTTTTTCTTAACAAGTAACTCTCCTCCGTCAGGCAGGACTGCCGATTAAAATTTTTGGGGGGGCAGGGTGAAATGTAGTGCCAGAAAATATAACGATGACCGTGGGAACAGGGACGGGCGACCAGAAGCGTCCCGAATATTTAGAAGGGACGGCGGTCTCACGGGACGGCGGCAACCTGCCTCGCCCGACTCTAGAACAAGGCCGAAGGCAAACGGGCAAGCAGTAAGCGAGTCGTAATGGACAGGTCGAGAACTGCGTCAAGAGGCATCGAACCCAAACAATAAATCACCCGGCCCCAGCCGTTCATTGCAGCCACTAGCCAGACCATAAATTCAGGAAAGCAGTGGAACGCGGGCCACGCGTTCACAGCCTTAAAGATGAGGGTTTTAAGAGAGAAAACGGCGGGTGAGTCCCGGACTGCCGATTGGCACGTGTACACTGTCAAAACCTATTCGTCGCTGTGTGGAATAAAGCGTACAAGTTGTTTACCGTTGCATCATCTGTTTACGTCTATATCTACGAGTTACCGGTCTACGGATACATGCTTTAGAGGCTACAATAATACTGCAAAGATCGTCAAAAAAAACGGAAAAAGTTTATTTATTCGACTAATACTGCAACATGTTTCAGCATTTTACCGTTGTACGCTCTCCTTCTTATACGCTCTTGGTGAGATGTCCATGTAGATAAATAAGTGTTAAAAAGGCCGTCATTTTGGTTGTCTGCAGCCATTTTTCGTGGAACAATTCGGGCCAAGTGCAGAAGCGAAAATTGAGCTGACAATGTTCTATAGCTTGCGGCAGCTATCCGGGGCTATAGTACTAGAGCTAGTTGTTCCAGATTGGAATCATCCCGGGGAAAAAAAGAGAATTTGAATGGCGTTGTTGTTGCCAGTGCAAGCTGCCGAAATTTGTGGGTTTTTTTTTTCTGGTACCTGACATCCCCGGGATCAGATATCTATTCGCCGGTATTGCCTATGAGGTGGTTTACAACCTCATATATTATACATCACTACACTCGAGTTAAAGCGTCTAGATACATAAGTTGTGTGCCACCGAGTTGTCCTTAAGAGCTGACGTATGCTATATTCGCCCATAGAGGTAGTGTTGTAACAAATCTTGCAGATCTGTTTTGTATATCATTTCTAGGCTTATTAGCTCATCTGACATAAGGCGGCGTTCACACAGACGTTTTTGGCTCGAGGCCTAATTAAGCTCGCGCCAGATTTGGCTCGAGCCGAGCGTTCACACGGACGTTTTTGGCCCGAGCCTAATTAGCGCCCGTGCCAGATTTTTGGTCCCATTCGAAAGTCGGACCAGGCCCGAGCCAAATTTTAGCACCAGTTTTCGGCGAGTGGTAGAGCAGTAGAATCGGTTTGAGCGGTAGATGCCGCGATTGTCGAACCGTGTACTTCGACGAAATAAAGTCAAAACAGTATAAAAATTCGAAAAATTTGATCAGGATGCACGTTTTCAAGATTGATAATTAAACTCGGAACGTAGTAAACACTCTGAATGTAAACAACGCCATCTCGCGACATACTGCCAAAGTATCTGTGAAGTATTTGTGCCAATAAAATTATATTTGAATTTGAATTTTTGAATTGACAGACAGTATTCATTTGCGTACGTGTAAACGCGCCGACTCAAACCGGCCTGAGCCAAATCTAGCCATTTGGCTCGAGCCAACCATGACTCGTGTGAACGCGGCTATAGTCAGATGCAGCTTGTAGAATCGCATGAGCGTGCGTCCGTCCGTGCGTCCGTCAACAGTTGGGCACAAATCTTAACCGCTTGACGTAACGGTCACGATATTCGGGACGTGGGGGGGTAATCCGAAAACGAGTTGGATGTCGAAGCTGGGGGTCAAAGGTCAAAGGTCAAAGAGGTGTAAAATAAGGGGGAACATTCCCTCCTTAACTTAAGGTATATGGAGAAAATGCAGAATTGCGGCACAAATCTAAACGGCTCGACCTAGGCTCGTGTATATGTCGCGTGTATAGCATCATGGTAGGAAAAGCCATCACTGTGCCGAAATTAGAGGCACAGGTCAAAGGTCAATGGGGACAGGGCAGATTTTAGACATCTTCTGAGGACATGCGTCGACGGGGACGCGATTGAAAAACTTTTTGTTTCAGCGGTGGCCTACCATTTTTATGGCATTATTGAAAGGAACATGAAATGGGCTTTCCACTGACGTGCGAGAGTAAGTGTCTGATAACCTTTTGACCCCAGAGGAGGGTTAAACATGGATTTGTTGACTGTTTAACATAGGACTGAACTGCTTTGCATTAGAGCCCCCTTCACCTGCCCCTCCCCCCACCCTCCCCACCACCACCACTACGCTCGCGCTCGACGCATATCCATGATAACGTTAATATAGCGAAGTCATTAAAGCTACACAGCTATATCTTTATTACTGTACTACCGGTATAGCAAAGCCTGTCAACGCGGTGGCGGGAGGGCGCACTAGATTCAGTTGCCAGTGAGTTTATCAGAAGAATAGCTGGCTACAGTACACGTCAGTTGAGCGCTGTCGCTCTGCGGCACTTGTATTTATATTTCTCTTGGTGTGGGTCCCACAACTGATGAGCAGTAATCCAGGCTTGGTAGTACAAGAGTTTTGTACGCTCTTTTCTTATTATACTTGTAAGTTGTAGTAGTAGTACGTGGGTGTTAATAAAACCCGGACCCGGACCCGGAAAACCTGCATATATAACCGGACTGGAGTAGAATGGGTTAGGGTTAGGGTCCGGGTTTTATGCAGGTTTTTCGGGGTTCGGGTTTTATTCACACCCGTAGTACTAGTACGTTGCTCTTATCGTAGTAATGTATGCTTTGTTAATTATCGGATTAATTTTAATAATTTCCTGTAATATTGGATTGCTATCCTTGCTTAGTGATTACGTCACCGTAAATAGTTAAAGTAAAGAAAATATTTCCACTTTTTCACAAAATGTAAGTAATTCTGTTCTCTTTTTATGGTTAAATTGCTGCATTATACGTCCTATTTTACTATATTGTTTGATGTAAAAATACACTCGTGACTCATACATAGCCCATAGTGCTCAAGCAATTAATGTCAGGATCATATTTATCAAATCGTCCAGGTTTTTTAACTAGTTGAGAAACAATCTTATTGGGTAACAATTTGACGATACGTTCAGTCCCGTTAGTACTTACTTTTAATGTAAAAAAATCGTAATTTTTTTTACAAATATACACCATAGAAAATTCGTAACGTCAATTTAAAGGCACAATACGAGTGACGAAGACAGTTAAACCACTCGGGGTTCCTTAAGTTCTTCCTTAATTTTTTTCTATTTTTGTCTCGACGTGTCACGTGTTAAAGCTAAAGGGTCACATTACCTAAGGTTCCTTGCATATTTTCAGTTAAAATAGGTTTAAATTACGCTTCATGAAAAATATTGTTCAATATTTGCTGGAAATATTTTTAATGTTTTAAAACTAACGGCCGCCGTTGCTTACAACTGGCGCCACTACAAGCACATCCACTGACGAAGTTGCATAGTGCAACTTTACAGCTGCAAGCTACAGACCATGGGAGTTCCTTATTTATTAATTAGTGGGAGGATTGCAATAGTTTATAAACTACTCGTAGTTTCAGTTATATTATGGACGAATTTGTGTTAAAATAAAAAATAATCTAGTTTTAATAATTTAATTAATATTGTAATAATTATTCAACCACGTAGGATTGGTATAGTCTATAATTTAATGTTCACAGCTCAGGTGCTAGAGTCTATGGAAACAAGCAGGAAGTCACAGTGCATCTGACCGTGAGTCCACTGGCTTGGTTTCTCCTAGTGCCACAATGAATCACGATTGTCTCGATTACGAGATTGCACTACACATCATAAGTTGCTACTCGGGCGAGTGTGACACTCTACCACGTCCCTGCAAAGCCGCATTGACGATGCACAAAGTTTGCGACACGATCCTCAGTGAACATGAGATGCTGTACTCTCAGCTTGTCATGAGAGCGTTGTCAGACAATAAGAGAGACTCGTCCGACGTCATTGTTCAGGTTGCCAGGGAGGTTTTCAAGGATGGCACGATAAATTGGGGCCGAGTGGCGGCACTCTACGCTTTCGCAGGAAAGATGGCGAGGTACTGCAAAGCGAACGGCATTGAGACTGACACACTTGTCGATAGTCTGGCCGCGTACACCTCGACCGACTTAAAAGACTGGATATGTGAAAATGGGGGCTGGAATGGATTTGTGGAGAAGTTTTCCGATACCAAGGTGGAAGACACGCTATGGAAAGGCATCATGTGGACTTTGTCCAGCTTAAGCACACTAGACTCGATCCTGTCCTATACAAAGTGATTGTTGTACTTGTAATATGCAACCTCTTTCCACTATAAGTATATTATAACAAATAATTTTATTGTAAATATATTATATATTTGTATTATTTGCTGATGTGCAGATATCGCTGTTGTGGATTTCAACCAGACATGTCTTGTTATTATATTGTATCAAGAGCTAATAATACCTAATAGCATATATAGGTATTATTATCAGTACATGTTAGTAGGTAGCCATAACCTGTACATCTCTAGAATCATGTTACATTCAGCTGATCAAGGGCAGTACAAGCTATGTGCATTATACAGTCTGTACAGATCACTAATTGCAAGGTATGCATTATAGCTTTTATTAAAAGAAATAGTTCTGCTTTTTGGACTTGGGTGAAGAAAAGAAGTGGTATGTAATAAAGTTATTTGTTGTCGCTATTAAAACAAGTGTTTTTTTTCTAGGCACTGCATAAATAATTCTGGTGCACATTTCATCCTGCCATGCGACCCCAACTCTAATAAACTACGTAACAGAGTTGCTTGCAATAACAAGTCTATGATACTTTTTCGACAGAGAAGTCCATGTCTTTATTGGACCTTTGGTCAGACACAGCAACAGACCCAACATGTACAATCGGCTTCATACAATATTTCGAATATTCTGTAGAGTTCCTACTTCTGCTTTCCCGAAGACAGGTCATCTGTATTTATATATTACTGTCACAATCTAACGTTACTAGTCGCTAGGGCTGTAACCATACACAAGCCTCTCGATTCGACCCGGTTCTCGATATTAGCCTCGATTTGATTCCCAAAATAATGAAATTTTTTCTTATTTTTTATATTTTCATTATTTTGCAATAATAAATTATTAAAAATTGCCAATGAATACTAAATGGTGAATAGACTAGAGTCTAGAGAGTATTATATACACTGCACAGATGCTGAGTAACGTTGGTGAGTAACACTCCACAGTATATATAATGGGTAATTTTCTCAATAAGGGCACCTTTTTGATTTTTTTATGTCCAGGCCTCACATTTTTTTATTAATGAATTCCAGTAAGCATTATATCCATTAAAATGTAGATTGGGGGTATTTCCACTTGGAAATAAACTTTCAGCACTTTATTGCACACGGTTTTTGAGTTTTTTGGCTACATTTTAGAATGTCCGAGATCTATGTCATCTATGTCCCAGTTTCTTCAAGTTTTTTACATTCAAACACTCCTATAACCATATGTTCATTTAAAGTTGGTAGGAGTACAATATCCATAGCAAAAAAGAGCTATTAAATACACTAGTTTCTAAAAAAAATGAAAATACAGGTGTCCGGGCAAATCCACTCCACTCCATAACAATCAATGAAATGTCGCCCCCTATTGAAGGGAAGTAGAACTAAGACATGTACCTCATGTAAAAAGTCAGTTTGTGTAACCCCCATATATGTCATGTGCTCTCAGTGTTGACATTTCCTCACAGTTTCTGTGAATTTTCACATCCTATTTCATCATCAGGTGGGTATACTTTCTAAACTCCACTCCATAACATAATATCCATGGTAACCATGGAACAACTTTTCAAATATGTCTATCATGCTACTGGGGCAGGGCCCTCCATAATATGACAGAATATTTCAAATTATATCTTGCTGCTGAGTGGCTGAAGGTCATTTTGTGTAAATATTTCAACTCCGTAACACTCCACTCCATAACAAATGACTGTTATCGAGTTAAGCTCTACTGTTACGGAGTTGTGATATGTGCTTAAAATGTCAAATATTTGTTTACAATATGATGTCAGGCCCTCTGCTCTTTAGGTCTTTATTACTTTATATAGGATTACACAAAGTTGAAAACATATTTGTAGCTAGTTTTATTTCACTGGGAAATGGAATTTTAGTGATTTTGTTACGGAGTTGAAATTTGTGTACGACCCTACTAAATATTTTAACTGTTGTTTACAATTATGTCAGGCCCTCTGCTCTTTAGGTCTTGTTCATTAAAGGGACAGTAGCCTCTAGGATTTTACTGCATACAACTGTACTTACTGTATAACAAATCGTCTATACCCACATGTATTTGTCACCAGATACTTAATTAATTATTTACACATCAACGCTACGAAATTTGAACGGCGCCATGACACCCGCGACCGTGCTGCCACCCTGAAAAAGTTGCGTATTTGCATTTTTATTTTGCAGGTAAATGACCGAGGGCCAATCACAAACGTGCAATTATATTTATACCTAAATGCTATTTAACCGAACGATATTCATTTTAGGGCAAATTTTTCCATATTATAACTGAAACTATATGTCGTTTATAAGATATTACAATCCTTTTGCTTTTAAATGAATAAATAAGAAATACCCTCGGTCTGTAGCCCTTGGCTGGAAAGTGGTTTTGCGCAACTTCTCAGATCGTGCGCTTTGAGTGGCGCCACCGTCGTTGTAATCAAACTGTAGTCGTTAGTTTTAAAACACTTAAAAAAAATATTTCTAATGGTGATTGAACAATGAAACTTTTTATGTAGCGCAATTATAACCTAAATTAGCTGAAAATAACCCTAGAACCTAGAGGCTACTGTTCCTTTAATACTTTAGATCGCATCAAGGCAGACCCTGCTAAGAGAGCAAACTTCAGGGGTTTTTCCAGAAATGTCAACTCCGTAACAACATTTCAACTCCGTAACATCATTTTGTCGAATTTTAAAAATAAATCTACCAATTAAATGAAAATGATTTCCTCCAAAAAAACAACCTGGATACTATAATAGTCAAGTGTCTGGTCAGTTTTAAATTGTTTTTTTATGTATGGATCATCATGGAAAATCCTTTCTTTGGAAATCGTTACAGAGTTGAAAGGGCCTAAAGACACCCAGAGATTAAATTCCTTCACCATTAAAAAAATTGGACGAATTAAGCGATGCTCAATTCCTGGTTGTACACCTAAGTGCCTAGTCTACCTGTGATAAAAATGTAGAGGTGTTCCTTGCATGTTTATTTTCTTGAAAATAATTCACCAACTTGTGTGCCCTTATTGAGAAAATTACCCATATAGCGTAGTGCCGCCATCTATTGGAGGGAAAAAGTGGTATCGAAGTGGAACCGAAAATACGGGGGAAAATATCGAGGATCGGATCGAGGGAAGAGAATCGCGATCCGATTCGATTTCGGTAGATCGTTACAGCCCTACTAGTCGCTGTGCACATCAGGCATTTCCACTTCCGTAAACAAATTCCGTATAGCCAACAACTCGTAACGAGGGTTTAACACATTAAACATTTTTTAATAACAGCTTCTTTAGAAACAAAATTACAAGTACGAGGTGAAACAACTAGTTGTCGACTGACCAATCGAGCCTCTGACCTACAATGCTGTGAAATCGGACGAAAGTCATGTACATCAGCACACCTTCTTGCATCTATGTGGAATGCATGTAAACAAATCGCACACACAGACCATACCTTTCAACTACGTAGTTTCACACCCATGCGGCACGGTCTCACATACGCGGCACATCACTCGGTACTCGTGGCTGATGGACTAGACATCTTTCGGCTCCGTTTTGTTGGGTGTTGCAAATAAGAATTGTTGAGCTTTTAATTCCCGACTCGAATATCTTACATCATTACCTACGTTAATCACTATTTACGTTTAGAAAGCGAACAGGAGCAGGAAAGCCATCATAAGACAGAACAGCCCCATGGCCTCAGACAGGGCAAAACCAAGAATGGCGTAGCTGAAAAGCTGCTGCTTTAGACTTGGGTTTCTTGCATATCCAATGATGAGGCTGCCAAATACCGTTCCGATACCGGCTCCTGGAGAGTAATGAAACATGAATGAACTCGCTATACAATTCATGGACACACGAGGCTATTTATACTGCATAACTTAGAATATTGATCACATACATTACTACTTCCATGACTTAATTTTGCAAAATTCCAGCTGAAAATGAATGCAAAAACAGTCTCTGATGAACCAAACAGTTGTACATTTATTTAGACACCTACAAATTTGCTGCATGGATGCTTGGTAGGTCAAGACAATTGTTTCAGATTATGTGAGCCGTTTGTGCTTGGACAATTACTACAGCAGGCAAAACTCTGTCATAAACCGAAAGGCTCTAGTCACAAATTAGAAACAGGAGTTAAATAGCTACAACAGCTACACCACAGAACAACTGCTCACCGGATCCGGCGACTCCCACAGTGGCGGCTCCAGCGCCGATAAACTTTGCAGCAGAGTCGATATCTCTCATCGCTGCACTCGTTTGCAATCCTCGCACCTGCAGATACGACACCACCATGCGATCAGATCACGCTCGTGCACAAGCTGATTTCCTGACCCAGCTGTGTGTGCCTTATGAGCAATGCTGCTCTGCTAGCGATGGCAACTTCCATACAGAAATCATAGGTACGATCCACCGGACTTTGTGCTTCCCACATAACTGCTTAGAAACCTAATGATCTTGTGTGAAGTTGCTCAAGAACCAGAGATGACACAAAGTTGTATACCTGGCTCAGAATTGGTGACATGGCTAGAGATGTGCTGAGCTCACTAGAGAAGCCTGACAAACCACAGTATGAGCTTACTGCTGTGTTCTGAAAGATAAGACAAGTTTTTACCAGCTGTGCAGCATTATTAAGTTACAGCCCTATCGTTCATTACAACTAGAAAGGGCAGTTGTCGCCAACTACATGTATCCCCCCTGATCTAGTATGAATGAAATATCTCTGTAAGGACGTAGAAGTAGACGTAGAAGGTAGGTAAAGTTAAATAAGTCACAAAGACAAAGGGTTGTTACACAACTCATCTGCCTGAGATGTGCAAGTATGTTAAAATTGGTTGCCTTAGGGGTTTTGGTACGCGACACACCTCCCCAAGATGTGTAAGTATACGAAGTTTGCTCGCGCTAGGTCAATTAGGGGCCGAGTTATAGAGCAGAAGGGAATTATGGTCAAGGTCAATGTCAAATAAAGGTTGCAGTGACCTGGTTTCGGTACGTGACACACCTTCTCCCCAAGATATGTAAGTATACCAAGTTTGGTTGCGCTAGGTCAATTAGGGGCCCCCGAGTTATAGAGCGGAAGGGAAATATGATCAAGGGCAAGGTCAAATAAAAGCCGCAGTGACGTGGTTTTGGTAGGCGACACACATTCTCCCCAAGATGTGTAAGTATACCAAGTTTGGTCGCGCTAGGTCAATTAGGGGCCGAGTTATAGAGCAGAAGGGAAATATGATCAAGGTCAAATAAAGGTCGCAGTGACCTGGTTTTGGTACGCGACACACCTTTTTCCCAAGATGTGTAAGTATTCCAAGTTTGGTAGCGCTAGGTCAATTAGGGGCGGAGTTATAGAGCGGAAGGGAAATATGGTCAAGGTCAAATAAAGGCCGTAGTGACCTGGTTTTGGTACACTGCGCACCTTCTCCCCAAGATGTGTAAGTATACCAAGTTTGGTAGCGCTAGGTCAATTAGGGGCCGAGTTATAGAGTGGAAAGGAAATCAGGTCAAGGTAAAGGTCGTAGTGACCTGGTTTTGGTACGCTACGCACCTTCTCCCCAAGATGTGTAAGTATACCAAGTTTGGTAGCGCTAGGTCAATTAGGGGCCGAGTTAGAGAGCGAAAGGCAAAATAAGGTCAATTTAAAGGTCGTAGTGACCTGGGGGCCGTTGTCAGAAACAAATTAGTCTTAACATTAACCTTAACATTAACTTTTTCTCTCAGACCAATGACAGAAACTTCGTAAAGTTAAGAGAATTAAAAATTCTCGTAACTTTTCTCTTAACTTAAGGAGATCCTAGACCCTCCCTTAACTTTAATATTAAGTTGAAAATAACACATTTACACTACAAATTACAATTATAGTGATATTATATTTTATAATAATAAATAAAATGTGTGTTTAGAATGGTGTATGGCATTTGTTCTCTTGTTTTAAATACTTTTGCACTGACCACACGACTCTCGCGTCTCGTGAGAATTTACAGTGTGAGAATTACAGTGTGAGAATTTATCTTGTTGTGCAGAATAAATTCAAGACCGTGTCGTTTTTCATCAAATATTATTTATATGTGGTTAGCCATCATAATATGCATAAATTACTGTGATGTACAATAAATGTGTATGAATTTAAATTTTGTGATCGATTCTCATCCAATCAGCAGCCTTGTGATGAAGTTCCTGTTATCGTAAGTATTCACTTAAGTAAGTTTAGTTACGCTAGGTTTCTGTCAACGCTATTAACTTTTCTCTTAACATTAACATTAGTCTTAAAATTAATCGTAACTTTACGAAGTTTCTGACAACGGGCCCCTGGTTTTGGTACGCTGCGCACCTTCTCCCCAAGATGTGTAAGTATACCAAGTTTGGTAGCGCTAGGTCAATTAGGGGCCGAGTTATAGAGTGGAAGGAAAATATGATCAAGGTCAAGGTAAAGGTCGTAGTGACCTGGTTTTGGTACGCTGCGCACCTTCTCCCCAAGATGTGTACGTAGACCATGTTTGGCCACGCTAGGTCAATTAGGGGTCGAGTTATAGAGCGAAAGAAAGTGTCTTCGGCAGCGGCTGGACAGACATGAAACCATAATATACCCACCGACTTCGTCGCGGGGGATACAATTACTAGAATAAACAGATTATAAAAAAACTTCATGAAGAAAGTAGAGTAACCGTGCAAAGCTAACAAATGTTCCATACCAGTGTCCTTTACCAAGAACACAAAATAAAACTTAACCAAGTTAAACCAGGGTATAGATTTAGATGTGGTATAGAACAAATATTTCAAAGCAGAAAGAACTTTCAGAACGTGAAGTGGAAGAAAGATCAACCATACAGCACACTATTGTGGATAGTTGTCGATCTTTACAGACTTCTTGACCGTAACTGTTTCCATAACCACTACAATACTTACTGGTAATGCTCAGGTAACAGCAATACTCTACAGTAAGGTTAATATATCTTATAACACTCACACACTAGGGGGTGAGTATTGCGACCAAAAACCGTATTGCAATATATTGCAATACGACAAAACCGTATTGCAATATTTTCCAATACGTATTGGGAAGTGTATACCATGCATGATATAGTAACAATTTGATGGTTTTAATATCATCATATATTGTATTATATGACATGATTTAATTTCTCATGTTTTTCTTGAGAAACAGAAGCACGGCAATGTTTTCCGCTGACAGTGCAGCACTCTGTGCCGTAACAATGTCACCCGCTGTACTGAATACCCTCTCGGAAGGCACTGACGTAGCTGGAATACACAATACCCCTGCTGCATAATTGGCTAATACTGGATACTGAAACTGAAACTGAAACAGTGGGTGCTCGCTTCAGCTTGTATCGCGCGCGCGCGGGCACTCACGTGAGCATAGGCTATATATAGACTCCCTAGTTGCCGTGCTCTCTGCCTCGCGCACACGTCTGCCCGCGCAGTAGTACCGCGCACTGCTCCATGCCGTGGTCGCTTACCAGTAATACTGTATGCGTCGTGCAGGCATTGTGCTTTCGTAATATATACACCGCCAGTGCATAATTTTCGAGCCCATTAACAATATAGACATAAAGGCAAGTGTCAAGTAATTTATTTCTTGTTATACCACCGTATCGTAAAATATCGATATCCGGAAGTTGTATCGCGATATATCGAGTTTTCAAAATATATTGCAATATACCGATATACCGGTATATCGTTACACCCCTATCACACACCATTGCTTTTACTAAAATATGCAATGATTAAAATTTATGTTGACTTCTAATTGACAACTACAGTAGGATAACCCAGTATTAAACTAACATACCTGATCTTGACCCTTAGATACTGCTCCAGCCAATGGTCTAGCAGCTGCCAGCCTGGTTGAAGAAACCTGCAATGCACAAACGCAAGCCGACTACTAGCAAGAAACCATTGCAACACCTGCTGTAGTAGCCCTACCAGGCTCTGTGACTGTATTACATCGTAGGAGAGGCGATGTAGTGAGAAGCGAGGGTAACTTGCCACTACTTCTGTAGATGCTTTAACACTTCTTACAATGTCTAAAACCGGAGACGCTTTGAGCAACCATCAAGCTTCTATAATAATAATGTACTGATCAGATGTGCACAACATACCATTGCACAGACTTTTAGCATTTTGGAGGTATATTATTATTAGTACAGTAAGTAACACTTGGCCACTTGCACTGGGCTACAATGAATATTTTTCAAGCAGCAGTACCAAGGTCGTAAAGACCGACCGGACAAACACCTCAACAACTGAACAAGCCCAGGCAGATAACCAAGACTGAAGACACGAATCAAGCGTTCGGCAAGCAACAGTCACAAGTCAAGTATTTGCGTCTATAATAAAACTGGAACTCACCAGTGTCCTAGATGCCGGAGCCATGAACTTTGTGCAGGACAACATTTTTGATGTCTGTGGTCGCCGGTATAAAATGACTCGGTATCTGCGTAAAGTAAATCGGGATGATTACACTACACAGTATTAGCCGGTACAAGTCATAAGCAAAATTTCCAATAAATACACGCGCTTGATCACAAAGAACGAGATATATGCTAATAAAATCTATGCACGTCAATGAAAACTCAAAGAAATGATAAGATCATAATCGCGGAAAGAGATTTTCACCGATTCAAACACAACTACAACAAAATTGCTATAATCATGCTAACCAAGGGCAAGGAGGACTTCTATGCGCATGCGCAACCTGATGTCATCGGCACAATTTGGGCACAAACCTTTTTCACAACCCATTATTTTTGAGGAATTATAGGATATTTAATCATAAGATAATTATTTACAAAAATTGCTTACATGCCTAGAGCTAAATTTATTGCTCAGTTATGTGAGTGAAGTTATAGATATATACATATTTATCCCAAGTGATGTATCCACTATCCGAGTTTTCCCACTGTAGCCTGTGGAGCAATCAACATGGCTGTATTCCTCCTCAATATTTGTAAATTTCACGGCTGTGGACAGATTTTCTCGACTCTGAGTGAACTTATTCAACATATAGAAGACAGCCACATAGGTAAACAAAGATCTTAATTAAAAACTAGATGACTTTTGCATCTCTATCAGTAATATATCAACTTCAAGGGCAAAACTGACAAGACAACAAAAACACCAGTAACAACTAGTCGATAAATCATGAAGTAATTTAGATTTTATTCACGCCACACACTAACACAGCTACTTGGGCCGTTTCAATAAGAAAATGATGACAAATAAACACAAATTGTATTTATCACTAAAGTGAACGTTCGGATACGCATAGATATACCACTATGGAGGCGGTTGTTTGTGTATTTTTGCTGGGATGGTATGAAATGAAACAAGCATTGTGCGAATTTGGCACTCTTCGCTGTTGGACATAATACCTAGCTTTGGCCCTGTTGTATTTAATGAATCAATGTATCATCTTTTATTGGCTTTGATATATGTAGTACAATTTATTTAGATGTTGTTAATGCTTGTTACTATGTTAGGCTCATAAGGTCTATGTCTCCCTGGGTACTGCCGGTACGTACCCTGGGTACGGTCCGGTATACCGGAACGTACACTGGTAACTATCTAGCTGATATGGGTAGGGTTAGGGTGTTAGGCTTAGGAGGTAGGCGTAGGCGACTCCCTAGACTCGTTAGTGGAGTAGGCGAGGTACGGTCCGGCATATTAGAAGTTACCAGGGTACGTTTCGGCAGTACCCAGGGACTCTTGAGGGGACTCATAGAGCCGACGGGCGTCAGGTAGTGTAGGTGAGACTTAAGTAATTATATATATGTTAAAATCTTGATCTTTTTTAGATTATGATCCAAAGACAATTGAGAGAAAGGAGCTTCAGCAACCACCTTCGTTGCCACTCAGCTATGTTCTTAGGTTGCTGTAAAACACATTTACTTTAAGGATTATTTATCGTGTGAACACATAATATAATTTTAGATATGTAATTAGCGTGATATGAATTGAGCTTATTTGCATGAGTGTCAAATCCCAATACAGAGACACATGGGGTGGTGGAAGTCTGCTGATATGAAAGTAAGAAAGTTATATTTATAGAAATGTACATTTTGGATATATCTAAGGCACTTTGAAATATCCTCATTCATCATCTTACTAGCTACTTGGCTTCAAAATTTGTGTTGTCACACGTGGTGCTGGAAATTTCATGAAGTTTTTCAGTTTGAGCATAGAGATACACCTCATCTATAAATAAAGCGTGTGATTGATTATATTCGTCTATCAATAAATGTTTACTCTTCATTAGAGCAATGTCCCTGCAAAACATGATTGTATCCTTAATTTATCTATGCCTAAATTATTTGTTGTCATCAAATTCCTACGACTTTCGGAATTCACCTTCAAAAAATTTCTTTCTGAAGCATTTACAATGTTCAGTTTAATGCCTGGCACCACCTCTTGGTCAGAAAACCAAAAAATACAACATGATATAATTGGTGAGTAATGTTAATTTCTCCCATATACCAATGTATGTGAGCTTTCAGAGTGTTTGAATTGCCAACAAAAATATACAGCATGATGTAATTGCATATATTTGGTGAGTAAGCGAGTGATGGCTGGTTGTTCAGGTTCTTCACCGACGCGGCTCGGCGTGAGAACCCGGACCTAACACGATCCGACCAGCTGCGCACGGCAGAGTGGCTTCGGAAGCAGAAGCAGAGGACGCAATCTCCTAGCATGTCCTCCGTACGCAGCAACTGCAACACCCCGACCGGTACTTCTCATAATATATTGCTAGTATAGAAATAGTTAGTACTGCTAGAATTGCTAGTATAGCTAGTATTGCTAATATAGTTAGTATAGAAATAACTAGTATTGGTAGAATTGCTATTATAGCTAGTATAGAAATAGCTAGTATTGGTAGAATTGCTAGTATAACTAGTATAGAAATAGCTAGTATTGGTAGAATTGCTAGTATATAAATAGCTAGTATTGGTAGTATAGCTAGTATAGAAATCACTAGTATTACTAGAATTGCTAGTATATCTAGTATAGAAATTTTGTGATTCCTAGTATCGTTACATGGGTGAATGGATGAAGGGGGAATGTGCTTGGAGCTTACATTTCCAATTGTAACCACGCAATGGATGTAAACAGGGTCAATGTTAGTATTGCTGATATTGTCATCATCATTCGCAATGCTACATGTGTAGCATTTTGTATGTTTAATTTGTATTTTGTATTTATAGTTTAATTTGTATTTTTCAGGCAGTGAACTTGATGAAGAGGATGTCGTGTCGGAATCGGACAGTAACGATTCGTGGACGACACAGGAAGAGTTTAGTTCTGAGCTCATACTTAGGTATAACCTCTTTGCCAACAACTACCAATACATCTCTGATATCTGTGAATACATACTAACAGTGCTAACTTTACAAATTTGCAGACATTCTATGGTCACTAACAAATTACAATGTGGGTTTTGTAAATCATAGTTATAGGAGTGCTGCAAGTACTAAGATTAATACATTGCTAAACTAACTCACTTGCTTTAATAGTATATATAGTTACTAGTATAGATGTTTCTTAATGTGTTGCATTTTTTTGTTTTTAATTAATAACACTCATTGAGTAATATTTTTCTATGATATGCTTTGATCTGGACTAACAGTGAGTCAAGGTAAGTCATAACAGCATACAGAGTGAATTTCACATTGCATGATTGTTGTTTTGAGATGATTTATTGATGTTGATATTTGATGTTGTTTGCTATGATTGTGTATGCATGATAGTTTTGGCAGCACTTAAACAAATTCAAATGTTCATTTGTGACTTGGTGTGTTTGTTTTATGCACAAAATTGAACTGATATTAGGAATGTATGTGAAATGCAATGAATGGTGGATGAATGTTCGATGCACTATTAAACTTTGAAGTGTAGTTAAGTTTATTAAATATAGAGTCAAGAAGTTTTATACATGTGATCATTTTTGTTGTTGTCATCTTTGTCGCCATTGTTGGTGCTGTTTTTATGGGTGTTGTTGTTGTTGTTGTTGTTGTTGTTGTTGTTAGTTTTGTAATCGTGGTGATTGAAATTATTTGAAATATACTGTGTTAAATACGTAATTGTAAATAAATATTAAATCTGCAGTGTTTTTGCATTGGAGTTTATTTAGATTGTACATAAAATGTAGGTAATTTGGTTTGGAGCCAACAATAATTATCTGAATCTTGTTCTGGGCATATGATACCTAATCTGTATACATTCATCGATTTCCATTGTTAATTTTTTTCATAGGAAAATTACAGTACTATGATTATCTACTGCAGTGTAATATCCTTATGTTATACTAAAATAATATCTCAATTTTCTTCTTTAGGATGCTGAGTGTAAACCAGGCAAAGGAGGAAAAGCCCTATGTTTGCCCTGTCCCAGGTTGTACTAAACGATACAAGAACGTGAACGGCATTAAATACCATGCGAAAAATGGTCATAGAAAAGATCTGCGGTAAGTGCTTCTAATGTGAAATGTGCTAAGTAGTGTAAATTGTGTAATAATATAAATATGATATGTTATAGAAATATAAATTGGGCTTCCTGCTGTCATAAATGTGGATTCAATGAATAGGGGCTTAATTAAGATCATATAACCATTCCTAATGGTCTTTGCAGTTAATGACAGTGAATTAATTTTGACACGAGCGTGTTGAAAATGATGTTGATAATCACATTGACAATATAACAACAACAACAACAACAATATTAATATAATAAAAAAGAGGAGGACGAATAAGAAAAATAATGATATCACTCGTTATTTATTCGTTACAGAGTGAAGAAGAACTTCAAGTGTCACTGCGGTAAGAGCTATAAGTCGGCGTCTGGTCTCCGCGCGCACACCGTCTCCACGCACTCCCACCAGCTGCCTGGCAGCCTGCAGCACGTCACTGCCAAGACATCTTCACACTCCACCTTTTCCGGTGGCGCCACTGCGTCGTCGATCGTCGTTTCGGTCGCGAGTGGCGCGTCGGCAGCCCCCAGTGAGGCGGTGGGCAGCATGCCTAGCATCGCCAGCATTGTCAGCTCCATCACGACCGTCGCCGCCCAGCAGCAGGCGTCTGCTGCCATCAATCTGATGGGTGGCGCCACTGTCGCCGGACTCGGGAGCGCCGCTGCGGCGGCCGGTCAGGTGCATCAGGTGTTCGGGAAGAACACGACGCTGCAGGCGGTCGGGAGCCGCATCGTCACGTCCGTCGCCCCCACTGTCATCACCACGATGCCGATGGGGGCGCCACTAACCGCCGTCTCTCACGTCTCGGCATTTCCGGTGACAGGAATCTCTCTCGCCATTCCGCAGCGGCAGTGAGCCGGGAGTTTATGCCTGTCTCGGCGTATAGCAGGGTTTGTCTCCTGAGGTAGGATGGAGGGCTCAGTCATGAAGCTGCTCTGTAATGATGAATGTAGATTATAGGGACCCATCTCAGCGACTCCCTCTTAGGTTGTGAAAGAATTGTAGAGATTCGTAATAAGGGCATGCTATCGATGTTCTATTCAGGCTACTGCTGGGCAAAAGTAAATGTATATTGCTACTGAAAATGTACAATTCCCAAGATGTGAAAATGGACCATTAAAAATACGAGTACCAGCATAGTAGTTCTGAGGGTATAAGTACTGGTCCTATCATCCATTAGGACTGAAGAAGATAGGAATGCAGGAAGGAATCATTACCTATTTTTACAGGCTAAAGACAGGAAAATGTTGAACGTTATGTCCCAGGATACAATGGTATCTTCCAGTAATATTTTACTCGAGGTCAGCATATTTTGCCTTGTTTTATACACCATACACACACTCAATTTAGCCAGGGCCGAACCAAGGAAACAATACGTTATTATTTTTAGCTCATCTGACGTAGTCAGATGCAGCTTGTAGAATCGCATGATCGTACGTGCGTGCGTGCGTCCGTCAACAGTTGGGCACAAATCTTAACCGCTTGATGTACGGTCACGATATTCGGGACGTCGGGGGGTAATGTGAAAACGAGTTGGGATGTCGAAGCTGGGGGTCAAGGGTCAAAGGTCAAGATGTGTAAACGGAGGGGGAATATTTCCCCCTTAACTTGAGGTATAGGAGTAAATACGGAATTGCGGCACAAATCTTAACGGATGGACCTATGCTCTTAATATTCGGTGTATAGTGTGATGTTTAATAGGGTTAGGGTTAGGGTTAGGGTCACAATGTACCTGAAACTCTTGTCAATGCACCATAAAACAAGAGTTTCAGGCACGCGATTTGTATCAACCAATGGGATTTGGGAGGTATGCAGAATGCAGAAGGTTGCTGAAATGATGTGTACGCAACTGCGTATCTGCATATCTGCGCCTAACAAAGGTGTCGTTTATAACCGTAGCAACAGACCTCAGATGCGCCCAGACGCTCTGTGGCTCTTGTTCAATTTATTCCTGTGAAAACTTAATATTTTACCTAAAAGATGTATTTGTGGTCTTAAGGAAAGTCCAAAGTTGATGTAGACTCCAAGAACATGAGTAGTAAGTCGTAGTAGTCGGTGATAAGGTTGATAGTAGATGATATCTGTGTACACCCAGCATGTATCATTCTCAGCAATCAGTCGAACAGTATATTTCAGCAAATTCCTATGTACACCCAGCCAGTAGATGGTGTCTGTGTACACCCAGCCAGTAGATGATCAGTGTGATTGTCTAGAGACTTGGTGATAAACTGCTACTTAGTTGAGCCGTGTTGATTTAATGATGTTTTATCCAAGCGTGACCAGCATTATTTCTCTTGGGCATTGTTCTAGTCATTGATACATCCTTGATGTTTATAATTCGGTCAGTTACTTAGATAGTTAAACGTAATCTATATCTAAATGTCTATATATCATTTTCTATATACCCCACGTGACTGTATGCAACAAGTATGCACAAACAAAAATTAGGGAAGATTTCAAATTAATTCTATGAATGAGGTGAGTAAGTGAAGTGCGTGTGTGATTGAATGCAGTTATCTAGGAAACTTTAAAAATAACTTGCAGGTCTGAGGTTACAGTTACTGAGGGTATCAAGGATGATTAGGATTCTACATCGCATATCAGTCGGGTACTCTTGTAAGTTGTAACGCACTGGGGAATTGTCTGTTTGTTTTTAGACGTTGTTAGTTAAAGTGTCCTATACGAATAGCAGAATAGCTCTATTGTTGTATATTTGCATATATACGTACACTACGTGTTATTGTTGCATTTTATCATTTATTTGTGGTTATTCACACGTGGGTTTGCCACACAAAGTTTTATATGCTGAATACAGTTAACTTTCAATACTGGAATACGCTAAGTCAGACGATCCATATGAAACTAGAAATCAAGTTCATTTGATCTGGTTTTGTAGCAGCGATGCACAAAATGAAGGATGCGTGCAAACTTGCTGCATTTTTAATACGTTGTTCGTTGGTTAAAAATTGTGATGTGCTTAAAGCAAAATTTATAGTTTCATTGATGCCCAGATTTCCTCTTGAACATTTGAAGTAGCCATAACTGTGCGTGCACGAGTCACCTTAATGATATATAGAATCAGAAGATGACTAATTGGTATTGACTAATTGACTGATTTGTAAATAGGTGCATGCGTTTTTGCACACATATGCCACTGCAATGCTGTGCGCAATTTCTGTCGAAATGTGAATTAGGACTGAGAAAACTGTAATCGTATTTAAACTATAGTGTTTACTTTCTACTTAACAATGACAATGTGATATGTGTGTTATATTACATGATGAGGATGTAGTATACGTCTAAGATGACTGAATTTGGAACGCGGTTGAGAAAAAAACATTGCATTTATATCTAGGTAATTTCTCATTTTGCTTCCGGTCGTATCGTACGTAAGCTGTGGCTGGGTAAACGATAGACTGTGAAATGAACCATCGCTATTATACTAATGAGATTATAATTATACAGTAAGCTATCCTAGTCGTTTTCCTCACACATTGACGTATATGTAGCATAGTCGCGAAAGAATAGTTGGTAGGGTTGCTTTGCGTTGACTCCAGATTGTAAGTACCACTAGTCACATACTGCTTAAGGTATACTGATGCGACTTCGCATGCGTTAATGACTTCGAATGGCCATAGCATACGTTCAGTTACTTGGAACTGGTTATTTATCGATTCGCGTTGATGATATTTACCGTTTAGATATTTATTTATTTCGAGTCATGTATAGCCTATGTTGTGGATAACGTGTTATTTGTGAACGTGTAAATACTCTGTGTTCGTGAGCTCCGTAACAAAATATGTAGCTGTAACTCTGTCACAAGCAGTCTGCTTTGCTTCAGGACTTTAACAGATGCGTTGGAGAGATCGTTGATATTTCCTTTCATTCCTGTTGCACGCGTAGTCCGAGTTGCCACGCAATGTAATGTCAGTTTATAATTACGGAATGCCTTCGCTACACCAGGGGTGAATAATGACAAATTTGATAATTTGATCATAACAAATTTGATAATGATTTGTCATTATTTGCCCCTGGCTAGACTCGTATGCAGTCCAGCTGTTAGCTGTTCGTGTGAACGTAACTTGGATGACTGATGATTTGGTCTCTCTACAATTCCATATGTACTTTCTTTGACTGCGGCATTTAATGATCGAGAGAAGGCTCTAGCCGCATCCTCACGAACTAGTTAGTACATGTGTGTACAAACCGTCGTCTTTACATTGTATCTCACATATTTATAAACATTGTTCCGTTGCACAATATTTATTATAGCTTGTTTTGATAATGCCTACGACCGCTGGGTTTTCGCGCAAGCTCGCGGTTATGTGAATTTTTCCTCTGCCGACATTTACTGGTCTGCGTGTATTAAGTGTGGCATGTTAAAAATTTAATATAAATATTATCGAGCGCCACATTATACCAAAATCACGTACGCAATACTTTGTCACGAATTAACCCGTGGAAAATTTCGGTGTGTGAAGTGTCTTGGAAAGGTGTGATAGGGTTTTCACCGCGTGTGACCGGATAGGCACTGCATGTAATATGACAAGTATGATTATAAAGTCAAGTCTATGTGACCATCTAGTCAAGTGCATGCAACCGAACGACGCAGTAACATCGTAGGCTCGTAGCACAGTCTTATATATGAGGCGGTCAATTTTACTTCTGGTCTAACTTGTAATATATATATATTGCCAGAGGCAACTGTACGCGGGCTATAGTACTAGAGCGGGGTATAGAGCTACTAAGCACACGGCATTACATCTGACAGCGGGGGCCGATGTCATGTCTTTAGAACATGTTCATGAACATGTTCGTTCTATTTTGCACTACCCTAACGCCAACTATCTTAGTTGAAGCATATCTTCAGCGCGTTATTTTGTATCTATTATGACATATTACAATTATTAGAGAATAAATGTATTGTATAATGTATCATAATTTGAATTTAATTCATGTATAACGTTTGTGGTGTTCTTCTGATAGCAGAAAACAGCAAAGTCGACGTCATCCTTTTTGCACTACGAAGTCGCCCTTTTTAAATCACGGCGTCGTAGGTAGGGGTACATTTTTAACCTCGACGCTGTCATAAAACATTGTAGTTGAAAAGCGCGACGTCATGGTTTAGAAAATATTTAAAACACGCGATGCGACGGCAATTATGAAATACAAATGTGCGACATCGTGCACGATATAGTATAATTATAGGTTACTAGTGCTCTGAACACGCCACGTTATTATTATTATTAAATCTTTATTATTATTATTAAATCTTTATTGCATGCGCACGTGCGTTACACGTCTCACGTGACAGCAATTATGCAGGCATAGTATATATCAGGGCCGTAGTGGCCTCCCAAAATGTGCTATTGCAGAAAAATGTATGATCACCCAGTGATAATATCAAGAGTGGCGGTTATGGTTTGTGCCGCAGGTACGCATGGCTATAACGCCGCGATCGCGAAGCCGATGCAGGGGGTCTCCGCCAGAAATTTTTTGAAATTTAGAGCCTGGATATCGCATTTCTTGCATTTTCAGGCTATGTTGAAAGCAACCAATTCTGATCATTTTAAAAGGTCAATTTGTAAATTTCAAAGAGGAATGTAGCTAAAGCTGATGTTTTGACTAAAGTATCTAAAATATATATTATGAGTATGATAACTAATAAAACATTGTTTACAAAATTGTATATACTATCTGTAGTATTTAGTATTTAGTATAGTATTAGTAGTAGTTTTTAATATTTCCGTTCCAGTGCATCGTACTTCAGAATACGTTGAAGCCGGGCCGTGAACATGCAACGTGTGTGTGTTGTGTGTTGTGTGTTTGTGTGTGTGCGTGCCAGGGGCGTAGCTACGGGGGGCCCTGGTGGGGCACGTGCCCCCCCACAAATTTTCTGTGCCCCCCAGGTGCCCCCCACCACTGAAAATTCATGCTTGATAAAAAAAAATTGAATTAAAAACAATGCCGTTAGAACAGTATAATACAAAGAAAGAGGGTTCGAACCACATCTCAGAAAAATTATATATTGTGCCCCCCCACGAAAATGTAAGCCCCCCCCCCCAGTGCCCCCTCCCGCTGAAAAAATCCTAGCTACGCCACTGGTGCGTGTGTACGTACGTGCGTGCGTGCGTGTGTTGTGTGTGTGTGTGTGTGTGCGTGTGTGCGTGCGTGCGCGCGCGTGCGTGCGTGTGTGTGTGTGCGTGCGTTCATCTCTCTCCGGGTCATGTTTTTCTTTCCTCTACATAATACAACAATTATTGGTTCAAGTGCTACAGCATAGAATTTAAAGCAAATCACTGTTCTCCCCTCCCCCCACAGTTCCGGAGACCACCTCATTTAAGCGTGTCCAGTTTTATAGCATTGAATTTCAACGAAATCCTAGTTCCGGATACCCCCATTTTCGAACATAGCCGGTTCCAGAGCGTACCACATTCAACAAACATTAGTTCCAGAGACCCATTTTCAGGTCTGAGTTAGTTCCAGAGCCCCCCCATTTTTGACTTCGCAGTGGCACATACCTACCATAATGGGGGGGGGTGAGTGCCCCCCCCCCGGGGTTTCATCTCCTTGGTTCCCTCTTCTATGGTCTATATATCTCTTCTATGGTCTGTTCTCTATATCTATGGTTCCCTGCACAATTTTTTTTGTCAAAATAGTGCCATGGCAGTTCCGTGCTGCCGTGGCAGCCACTACGGCCCTGTTTAAAATATCTTATGCTATCCATACCATGTCATACCATGTATGTACCACAGTACCAGTACCATACCATGTATGTACCACAGTACCAGTACCATACCATGTATGTACCATACCATCCATACCATGTGTGCCACAGATACCATGTATCTATGGTAATTACATCCATGTACACCCTGAGAACAGAATATAGTATACAAATATTGCCAAGAGCTAATAATACCTTATGATGTATTAACAGGGGCGTGTACAGGATTTGTACCAGGCGGAGGGGTCTAACCGTACCCCAAACTTGCGTGCAGGCGAAAGGTGGGTCTGCATGGGGGGCCCTCCCCCAGAATTTTTTTGAAATTAGACCCCCTTAGATACGTTTTCTGCGCGAGCAGCGGGGGTCCGGACCCCCTGGACCCCCCTCCCCCCTGTACACGCCCCTGATTAATAGCTCTTGATATTGTACATAATTATTCTTCTCAAGGTACTCTCATCCGTACACAGTCTGTATTTTCTATTAAAAGGTATATCTGACCTAGAGATGGCGCTAAAAACAGAAATATAGATGGACGTCGGTGCGTGGGGTAAGTAGCGACATGTGAAGTAAACGGCTATGACGTTCGTCAATATCGACGAACCGGCGAATGGTAGTGGGCTCTAGCGAGTGATACCGGCATCAATATTGTTGTCATGATGGCGACCAGCAGGGAGAATGTGAGATTCCGCGGCTCCGAGTACCCCGAGCAAAACGGTGCCTACAATGCGTGCTACCAGATGCCGGACAACAAGAAATACAGCAGGCCGCAGCCGAAACTATACAGCGATCGTATCTGGCTGATCTTGCTGCTGTTTTACGTCGTCGTACTCGCTGTCATCTTCAAAGCCGACCGGACGTTACCGCAACCGAAGACAATCCTCGAAGCGCGCCCGGGCGAATTCAGCGAGGAGAGAGCGCGCGCGCACCTGCTCGCTCTCACGGACCTCGGCGACAGGCTAGTCGGCAGCGACGCGAACGAAAGGCTTGCTGTCGATTACCTCGTGAGGCGGCTGAACGAGGTGAAGGCTTCCGCCGGTTCGGCACACGTCGTCGAGGTGGACGTGCAGAAGCCGACGGGGTCGTTCACGCTGCATTTCCTCGGAGGCTTTACGTCGTACTACGCGCGCGTGACGAACGTGCTCGTGAAGATAAGCCCACGCCACGGCTCGCAGCACAGCCTGCTCGTCAACTGCCACTACGATTCGGTCGTCAACAGCCCAGGTATAATACAGTGTAGCTCCAAGAAACGGTATTGCTAGGGTTACAATACCTCCGTATAGACAATCCGTCGCACAGCCTGGTCGGGCTAAATACAGTGTAGCTCTAGTACTGTGCGCCCTAGCTCTAGTACTATAGCTAGCCCGCGTTCATTAACTGCCGCAGGCAGTTAATGAACGCGGGCTATATAGTACTAGAGCTATGTGCGCCCTTGTTGCCACAGGCACAGGCTATAGCTACAGCCTGTGGCAACAAGGGCTATCGCTACAGCCTGTGGCAGCAAGGGCTCTAGCTACAGCCTGTGGCAACAAGGGATATATATAGCTACAGCCTGTGGCAACACGGGATATATATGGCTACAGCCTGTGCCTATGGCAGCAAGGGTTATAGCTACAGCCCGTGGCAACAAGAGCTATAGTACTACTACTAGAGCTCAGGGTTCTCCCTCGCGCCCCGTTTGGGTAAACTACCCCCTGTTTCAATCGTTACGCCCCGTTTAAATTACCTCCGCCCCGATTAAATTCCACCACAATAAAAGTTTGACAGCGCGGGAATCGATTGTCAAGAATTCCCATTCGACCAGGACACCCGACTCGTGTATTTTTACCGTACCACGCATGCACTGCCGACCACACACAAGTACAAACGATCAACCTGTCCCGAACCCAACACTACCTGTACACCGACTCGGCTATCTTATATATACAAGAACCCCAAATACCGTCTATGGTGTGGTGGCGATTTTACACATTAATTAGTGGTACGGTAAAAAAAACACGCCCCCAGGACCCCCCTAGTTTCCCCTCCCTTCCCCCCCCCCCCCCCCCCCCCCCACCTCCCCTCCCCCCTGTTCCAATTTCATCCTGGGGAGAACCCTGGAGCTAAATACATTATACATGCAGTGCTGATCGCACTGCGTTGTCTGTGTAGGTTGTTCCTAGCTCTGCTCGTGTAAGTCTGGCTCAATCCTAGTTTTGGACCCCTGTATATATAGTTCGCATATGTGCTAAAATAATCTGGGGTGCTAAATAATGATTGGGTCGCTATGCCTGTGGTAGATACAATGAATGTAAACCAACAAGAATACTAGGGTAGCTCTGCTCTTGTTGGGTTACATTATTGTATCTATGCCTGTGGTGGAGTGAAGGATTACATAGGTAAACCTAGGTCTGTTCCTGATGTGTCCCTCCCAAGCCGGTATCAATGCCCCTCTCCGCCTAGGTAGCAGTGTTGGAAATATTAGCTCCCTCCCCCAGTCCAGGGGGATACTTCTAAGGACTACTCAATTTTAATTCATTTGAAAGATAGTGTGCCATTGTTAGGATTTTTGCACTGGGGTAAATTTTACTGTAGAGTTTATACTCAACAACAGCTATCATTGTAGTTGCACCATAGTGTTAGTATGCCGTCACAACCATGGGTGCTGCAGGGTATACGGTACCGACTTTTTAGTGTTACTGTTAGGGCCAGAACTGGCCTGAGCAAATGCAAGGCCCAGAAATCGCGTGGTGCGACGCAATTCTTGTCGTATCTATTAATATAGCTCTGGGCACTTTAAAAAGTTCATTTTAAGAAATTCCAGGGCAGATATAAAACAAATGCTTTCATTTACATGGATTAGACTTTATCATGATGATATAATATTCATGCATTTTACTCTAGATAGTCCTCTCATCTTTTGAATTTGGATACAACATATACCATCTAATTAGGTTCAGAGGAATCGATGTGGATTCATCTTGTGCATGAGGCTGATGAAGCGCTTGGCTCCAAGAGGCAGCTTTCCTTAGTACAGTGCTGGACCTGGTTAGGAATAGGATGCAAACAATATAGGGCCCACATTTTAGCATGTGCATACAGGTGTTGATCCATGAATCTGTGGCTTCATGTCATATATTTGGTAGCCTGATTTTAATTGCCAATGCAGTAAGCAACACCTCATTAGGTTAAATTATTTACTGCTCATGTGCACTTATGTTACAATGGAAGCCCATGTCAGGTTTGACCGTTTTCACTAATTAAAGGTATGTCTGAACCAAACCTGGCTCTGCAATGGCTTAATTAGGTACCTTCGGCATTGCACTTTTGCATATGCCAGTGCTAAAAATAGCAATAATAGTTTGATAGTAACTTAATTAATAATTTTTAAGTAATAAGAAATGAATAAATTGTCCATAATTAGTTTAATATTGGAATCCACGTTTTCGAATGCGAGAATTGAAAGACTTTAGTAAAACGTTGTTTATTTGTCTCGTGTAACTAACTACTATGCTGAACAGAAAATATTCGTAGTACATGTATGTATAATAGTAAACTAAAAAATAATATATAGAGCGTGATGCAGTAACCTTATTAATAGATAATTTCATAGAGCTCTGTACTTACCTCACAATATTTCACTCACATTACAGTCTTAATTTTTCATGAAAAGCTGCATTATAGTAATTATTAATCCAGTACATAGCATTTTAGTGCCCATTGTTCGTCCAGTAGTGCCACTAGAACTACCTGTTTTATGGTTCTTATCATATTTATGTGTTGCATAGAAAATATGAATAAATGACATATGTTAGTTTTAAAGTTTATTATAATATATGGTAATTTCTGTTTTTAATTTGACTCTCTACAACAGTTACCCCCTTCGTACAAACTGACGGAAGTGTCATAACCCTTTCGTATAAAGTGAGTTAACTCACGTTAAAAGATGGATCTTTTTCATCATAATCACACACTCTGGTTAACCCCTATTAGTGTATTTTTTTGATATTTGTATGATCAAACATAGAAGCCGATTAACTAAGAGATCCATAATTAAATCATGTTAATTAGCTATGAGATCAAAAATACTTACTCTGTCATTACTCACATCACATAAGAGTTTTCAAGAAAAAAACGAAACTAGTCTATCAAAATGCATGCACTAAGCTGCAACATCAGCCGTAAAATTGTCGTGTTTAAAAATGTAAAATTAACCGCAAATTTAACGTATTATGCCCGCATCAAATTCTCACTGCGAGCTACGTATGATTCCAGACTGTTTAAAGAGGGGGATACAGCAAACTTAGAAGTATAACACGGCGGTTTAATCACGAAGTGTGAACAACAAAACGGTGGCTGAATTTTTATGACTTCAAACATTTTTCTTCTAGTACTATGTATGGTGAAGTTTTTCACATCAGTTTCTATAGCTAACCTTAAACCTGTTTAAAAGATCATACAAACTACAAAACATTTTCATATGAGGTTTAATAGTTGTTTACCTTTGATATAAAATAATATTCATTTTAGAGAAAGTGCCTAGAGCCAAACAATACAAGTTTCATGAGCTCATACTTCATTTTTAATATGCGTGGTTGGCTGGTTGCTCGCTCCCTTTTCATTAATAAATTGTAAAACGTTTTTATATGTACTAGTATTTGCTTCCCCGCCTTTTCTGCACAATGTCATGCAGTTTTCGCTGTACTCGGCTTGCCGTGTGTTGTCGGCACACTCTTGCAACCTTGTCTTGCTCTCCCCGTCATATCTCTCTCCTGCTTCCATATGCATTTCAAAGGACATGCGATGTGTTTATGTAACGCATAACTCAATGAATGAGATGGGAAGAGAGAGAGAGAGAGAGAGAGAGAGAGAAAAAAGAGAGAGAGAGAGAGAGAGAGAGAGAGAAAAAAAAGAGAGAGAGAGAGAGAGAGAGAGAGAGGGAGAGAGATAGT